CGATTTCTCTTTTCATTAAAATTAACGTTTTTAGGCGAAGGCTTGTCGATGGCGAAACTCGGAAAGGAATAAATCACCGCGTTAAACCCGCGTTCGAATTTAATCCGTAATTTAAGTTACCCGGTCACGGGGCACAAATGTATCGATTCCGTTCGCCGTGGCCACTTTCCTCGGAGAAATTTCGCGAATGGACAATTTGTTTCCCCGAGGAAGAAAATTGATATCGAACCGACTTGTCGTCGGTCCGTTTTACTTCCCCGATAATCAAGGTCCCAGGTTGGATGGACTTTATTGCAGTGAGTTTTGAAAAAAAAAGGAAGATCTTTAAATCTCTTAATCAATATTAAATTCTGAGGCAATTTCATCCGACCTCCCTTACCTTTCTTTCCTTCGTCCGCGGCTCTCGGAGCACTAGGCTGTAGAAATTCCAACTGAGATCCAATTTCTCACGGTTGATTTGAATCGTTAATTGGAAGCGCTTATCGTCGTTACAGCGCATCGTCTGGCGGTCTGTTACGTGTAGGTGTTGTACGCGTATAGTTTAATCGCGATACCATCCTATTCCCCTATCGTGGCTACCTTTCCTCCCGCTATCATCCACGGTTAATTACTGTCCGCATAATTGTCGCCTTCTCCGGGAAATGACTTGGCCGATTAGTTGGAAACTCTAGCACGCGAACGCCATTGAAATCGCGTCGGTGTATCGTCGCCTTCTCCTTTCCGGATAAATGGAAGTGGAATTATTATCAGCCGAATGGATGGATCTCGTTTCCCTTTTTTTTTTCCTCCCCTTCCTTTTCTTCGCTAGAAAAATTGGCAATTTTCTTGAGCGAAGTATACGCGACGCAGCTCGCTTCGGTATATAACGTCATCAGCGTTAGTTTTAAAGGGGTAGCCAGGGTGATATGTAAATTTCGTAAAGTGCACCGACAAAGCGTCGTCCCGTAGAAGCTGGCAACTGAATTTTCCTCGGGCAGCGATAACTGTTTACATTTCTAATCCGTCGGATGCGATGCCACTTTGTAATCCGTGTTTTAGCCGGCGCTGAAAGCACGAATGTAAATTGTCAGGCTAGCATGATTAAGGGAACGCGAAACGGTTTACTGCCTTCATTTCGCAGCAAGATTAAGACGATTAAAACGTTCCCGTACAGCGGGGCTGAATTAACCCTCCGCACAAATGTTAATTGCACGTCTGAAGTTGTACGTATCATTACGATGCTGTGAAATTCTTTAACGCGTTTCTCAAAGGAACAGAATTCCATGAACATTTAAATACAATTGAACGTTTCACAAGGAAGCATCGAATATTTTGTTTAAGTCGATGACAGAAGCTTCTGAATACTCTCTGGTCTATAGAAAACTTGAGAATATCAATATCCATTATCGTGCAAAAGACCATTTAAATATTTGCCGAGCAATCGAGGAAGCTCCTTCCTGTCAGCAAGTTCTCTGTTCTGTTGGATCGATGCCTCGTAACTTGTCGTCGACTTCCTAGTACCTGAGAGTGTACGTGTACCGTCGTTACGGAGCAGCCAGCATATCTATTTGCGAGATGCAAAATACGTTTGCGAGCGTGTCGGGTCACGAAGTTCCCGGTGTCGTGTATCGTAGAGAAGCCTTCTATCCGGGGGATCCGGTCGAAAGGTTATTAGATTCTGATGGGCTGCCGCTTTCCGGACTCGTTACCGAGCCAGCTTAAAGGGATTTAGGGAACCGACGGAAACAAAGTTTCCCCGATGAACTTGCGAGTCGCAGGTATCGCGTCTGTCGTACGTCACCGAAGCTCTCGAAGCTCGTAGGATAATTGGAGTTTCAAAGCTATGCGCTTCCGGGATCGCTCTCGAAAGGATGATTTATCGGGGTCTGCTCAACGAGCATAGACGATGGCGTTCCAGCAATAGCCGATTCGTCATTAAGCGGGATCACCTCAGACTCGGTTTATCATCGATTAAGACCCCGAACTTGCGCGTTAAGCCGGTCCATGCGTTATTTATTGACGTCCACCTCGGCCCGGATCTCTTGATCGGATCATCTTCCTCCCTTATGCAGAATATCCCATCAGTATTAGATAAATATAGAATTATTACGCTCCTCGTTATAGAATCATTGGATTCGTTCGATTAAACCTTAACCCTTTAACTGCGGGTACTTTTAGCACAGCCGATTACATTCTAATTTTAAATTATATTACTGAAGCGATATTCTATTTTAACAGATTTATTTTATTTTTATTTTAATGGTATACAAGCCACTATTTGATATTAGCAAAAATTAACATGTTGTTTACATACCACACTCGCCTCTGGCTATAATTTTAGTACGTGGTTTATAAACCACACCCGCAGTTAAAGGGCTAAATAAAATTATTATACCAATATTTTCTTTTTGAATCACCGTAGATTAATTCACGGGTTTCTCCGCGTTACTGGGAACCTGACCGATGAGAGAAAATTGTAATTAACGAGGCCGGTAGTTTTATGCAAAAAGATAGGATTTGCGAGCGATTCCTTTGTTGCAGAATCGAGGCTCGCTGACTATCCGTTTGTTCAGACTTCAGCCTCTTTCCCTCTTCCCGTGATCATTTCTTTTGTGCAGATTTACGGAAAGGGATTTAGCGCGGTGATTACGATCCCTTTTCTTCCCCCTCCCTGACTTGATACATAATAACTCACCGTTTCGAAGATTCGGACGGGCAAAAAGCGCATCGCCGACGGTTCGTGACCGCGTTGCCTCTCGACAGCTGTAAATTCGTCGGCGTCGAGAAAGAGTTAATGGAAAAGGGGGTATCCGTAACGTGTCTACCAGACCGTCTTCTTTCTTTCTCCACGATTCCTCCATCGTCCTTTTTATTTCCCTACCATCGTTCCGGACCATCTAGCCAGAGCTATAAAACGCCTTCACCCCTTCTCGATCTTCTTCTATCAGTCCCTGTTTCTCTTCTATGAAACCCCCCCGCATTCATTGTGAACGTGCCGTTTTACAGCAACGTTAGCTCCGTCCACTCCTTTTTCCCCACGATGATGTCTCTACCCTTTTCTTCTAATACACATCCTGTGTACTTTGGCGGCTTTCTTCATCCTTCGTCGCCTCGCATGGGAGCCATAAAGTCGGACAGGCGCAAAGAGCCAGGTACTCAGGGAACGTCCTCCTTCTGTGATGTCGCAGCAGAACATTTTGGTTGTTAAGATTACTTTAGGAGTTCCTCGTTGGTAGCACTGTATTACGCTACCCGCTATCAACCCTACTTTTATACCGTCGTTCATATTGAGGATGGAGGATCCTAATCTGACGATATTGTTCTACGTACCTCGATTACGTTTCCCTGCCAGTTATTGCAGGAAAAACCTACCTTGCTGATTCGGCGATCCTTCCCGGTACGATGCTTTCGCTTCCTCGCTGGCAGTCCTTTCATTTCGCTCGGCTCCTCTTAGGGCAAAGAACAATGCGCATTACAATGGTTCAACTGGAAATAGCGGAAAGGCAAATAGCGTACGACTTTCGCGCTGCAATTTCTTCGATGAAACTTTTGGAAGTTCCACGATTACCTTTAACGGAGAAAGGGAAACAGAACGCGTACGAATTGAATTCGTTTGGTAAGCGAGCGATGCGTGATCGGGGGAAACGGTTGGAAGTTTGAAACGCGACGTAAAAATTTGTTCCGCTCCGTTCGATACGCGTTAATTCCAGGACGATTCGTTTTAGTACTTACCGTTTTTCCCTTCCTTTCCATCGAAAAACACAGCTTTCCACGCCCTTCCGTTCTTCCTCGTTCCCAATGAAAACAGCGGACGGTGAATTTCAGCCGGGTTAAAGCCTCACGGAAGATGCGCCGTCCAGTTAGCCTTAATTTGGAACGCGTCCAAATCCCTCCCTTATTAAGAACCGGGCTACTTAAACTTTCAATTTCCGCTTCTTGCCAGGCTGTGTTTGCGAGTTCGTTTAATTAGATCACCGATATCGATGGAGATTTTATGTATTCGTTTTTATCAAACAGTTAGTTTTATACTGATATGCAGAAACACTTGTCTAATTAAAATATTTTGCTTTTAATTATTACATACTAACGCGTTAATTGAAAGTGGCATTTATTATGAGACGTATCGAAACTCTAATTATTAACAATAGGAATAATTAAAAAATTTCAAATAATATTTTTCTTATTGTTTCATTTTAATTGTTCAAGTATGCTAATCTACGACGGCTGAAAAATAGTACTTCCATTAAAATTATCAGCGATCAAGCAGAAATTTCGACTCGTAATCATAATTGTACTTTGAAACATCGTGCGGCTTTCTTCGGTTAATTGACCGATCGCTGGTCGGTCACGTAACCAACTAATGAAAGTCGCAAGTTTTTCAAACGGTTAACGCGGCTGTAAAAGTTTCCATTAACGAGGCGATCGATGGAATTCACCGCGGGCTGTCGAGTTTTCTTTCTTTTTTTTCAATTTTTCGGATGTAACCGAAGTCAAAGGGAATGTACCCCGGCGCATCGTTAAAACTGTTCCTTCTCGAAACGGTCGCGATAAATTGTACGTCGGTGACGGAAACGCGTCGAGACGCGAGGTAGACGAGGGGTTTGGCTCGTTTCGAAGACGAAGGTTGCAGGAGGAATCCCGGTGAACGCGTATCGAGGCAACGGTAATGCAGCGTGAAAAGGTGTCACCGGTGTCAGCCGAGGTTCTTTGATCCTCGTTAGTTACTTATCAACGGCGAAGAGGGATAAAGGTTTCATAGACGGCTCGGAATAAGTCCGAATGAAAGTAGCTTTAGAGCAAGGACGACCTGGAAAAAAGCCTACCGTTTCTGTCATCCGGGATCCCCCTCGTTTTTCGCGGGATGACCTCAAAGATAGAAACGCGACAAAAGGAGTAGAATCCATGGATCCGTGAAAGCACGGGGGGGGGGGGGGGGGGGGGGGGGCAGAGATAGAAGATGCTTGTTGACTGTAACCCGGCTCGCATGAAAAGATCCCCAGAGACTTATCTTTCAACCCCTGTTCTTTCAACGTTTTTATTTATTAAACATCGTAATGTTGTAGTATGTACAATAATATACCTATCTAGTCTAAACGATATCGCTGCGATTACAGATTCTTTCGTGGTTTTATTCTCCCTCTCATTTATCATCTTTCTTGCATCAGCATCGTCGATTAAGAGCTACAGGCTTGCCGAGTGACGTCTGCGACGCGTCGTTTTCGAACGTGTTTCTCATCATCTTTTTTATTTTTCTTTTCTCAGCTTTTCATCGCGATCGCCTCCTCGAACGGCCGTCTCGCTGAACGGCGACACTTATTGTTTAGTTTCGCTTAGTTAGCTAGTCTGTGCGGTGATACGTCGCGATAACGCGTGCATCGAGTCGGAAAAAAGTCGATAGAGAGATTCTAAAGAGAGAGGGAGAGGACTGGGCCGTTTGTTCTTTCAGCCGCTTCGATGGAGTTTTTCGCGCGGTTTTTCTCCACGATTCGTCGACATCACTTTTCCTTTCGACCGGGGGTAAAAGGCCGCGAACACGGTAACAAAGTGGCCACACCGAGGGCAAAGCGATTTGTGCACGGTCAGGGAAACGAGATCGAAGCTTGCGAGCAGGGAGGACAACTCTCGAATCGAATTGCATCGACGGCAGCTGAATTCGATTCGCGACCGATTTGTTCAACTGGAACGAACGAAATCCAGAGTCTGTTTCGATGCACCGTCCTTCTTTCTTTCCTCCCTTTTCCTCGTTTCCCCTTTCGCCGAGTATACCGCCTGTTTTCTAGCTGGAAAATATCGTAAAGTGTGGTACACTCTTGTACAGGATCTTTATGTTACCGATGCAATTACCAAATTGAAAAAACCATTCCGTTCCGGGAAAGAAAATTAATTTTCCTCTTGTAATTATGAAATAGAAGATCGCGATTGAATATAATCAAATTTTCCTGTATTTTCAGATAAGCGGAGCTGCTAATCGAGGAATAACCGTATGGAATTTTCCGGGACAGCCTTAGGGGTGAGTGAAAAGCGAAAAGTATATCTACCCTGTGAACAAGTCGAGGAAACGCGATTTTCTATGAAATAGCCGCGAGCGTTATTATCGATCAGCTGGATAAACGAGTTTCCAACAAAATAACGTATCCCCGGCCGAGTTTCCCGCGGACGTAATTCGCGACGCGAGATCGAATCTACGGTCAGTCGGTTAATGGACCGCGTCCTATCCGTTACACGTACTTTCCGTCGAAAGGGGAAGAGAAATTCGGAAACTTTTCTCAACCCCTTCCCCCGTTGCTCTCGAGGTTCACGCAATTATTCTCCGTAGTTTACGCGGCCGAAGTCACGTTTCGCGTATCGATTCGAGCCTTCCGCTTCCATCTGGAAAAACTTTCGGTCCGTCGAATGTTCCGGTTGGAAATCGTTTCTCTCTCTTTAGCTCTCCCCTTCGTCTTTGCCGACGGGTCGCGCAAGTCCGAGGAAAGAATCGCCAGCATGGTGGTAAATAGGAACACAAGAGTGAAGGGAAATTCGATTGGTGTGTAGCGCGGGAAAAGGGATACTTTTTTCCACGCCCGATACTTTCCTGCTCTACCTGCGAGGATATCACATCGATACAGACACACACACACACACACGCACACACAAATAGAAAGTGAAAATTGTCGTGTTCTCGCGTCGCGATCGAAGTGGATCCAACTCGGTGGTGCAACCCTTGTCTATCTTTACGATCCTTCGCGATTTACGTGACGGCTCTCGTTCTACAGCCTTTCTCACCGTTGTGTCACGTACACGCAGGGAAGCGTTTGAAAGGAAGGAAAAATATACAAAGTAGTAAAAAGGTTTCTGGACTCGCGAGGGAAATTCGTTTGAAAGCTGACGCTGTTTGGTTCGCGGACCACCGATTCGGAAAGAACGACAAAGATTCGTAAGGGAAGTTCGATTACCTGGAAGTCGGGGCAAGATCATCGCTTAGCTTTGTCGAGTTTTGTACCGCGACGCTGGATTTTCTTTTTATTTTTTATTCAAAAAAGAAATGCGAGAATGAATATCCAGGCATTCGAAGTTTATGATATACGCGATAGTTATAAATTCAGCTGCTCTCGATCGAAGCGATCGCTGTTGAAAAGAATAACACCGGGTCAACGTGTCTCCAACTCGTCGGTTGACGATTAATCTTCCCCGTAGTCGTAGCAAAAAGTCTGCCGGGAAATGAAGGGAAGAACGGGAAGGAAAGGAAAAAAATGAAGTTCCTTTGACGAAACTCGAAGCGATAATCCAGCGTTTAGTATTTTCACCTACCTCCACGAACCCTGTCGACGAAGATTCCCGGTTCATGGTTGGCGCGTCGCTCGTTCGGAGCCACTTCAACCGCGAAACTCGATTTTCCCGCGATAAACGCAATTACTAGATCCGCCAGCACATCGGTTTCACGTGAGAGAGAGAGAGTGTGTGTTTTGCCGCGTGCACGCATTTACGCTCGCGTACTCGGCGTGTAACTATCATCACACCCGGCCACAATTTATAATACAGACGTTATGTACAAGTTTCCTGTTACCCTGGCCGGACGCTAATACCTCGAACGAACGACGAACGGATCAAGGGAGCTGTTCGATTCCTTCAACTTCAACTTTCCAGTTACCCAATTTCTCTGATTCCCAGAACGAGGTCTCCTACGATCGCGAATACTCGAAACTCCAAATAAAGGGGAGGAATTTTGCAACGTCTTCGAGGAACCATCTCCATTGTTAACGGCGAGTGATCGAGAAATCGAGTCACGTTTTATTTCCCTCCGAATAGTGTCCTGCATGTCGGAGGATTCGACCGATCGTAAAGCGCGATGGTCGTCCTCGAATCGGCTCCTTTCATCGTGGATTATCAAGGCATCGCGAAACAAGATCGTAGGAAATTTATATTCCTCCGAAACGCGGACTAATTATGAAAATCTTTCTTTATCGAACCGAAGTCGTTCACGGTATCAGCGTCGACGTTCTCTTAATTAAACGTTTTCTTCGTTCGGACACGCGCGTCCGTTAATCCCGACGATCCGAACGCGTTTCCTAGATCAAGATTGCCTCGAGATCGTAGAGTCGTTCGAAATGATCTCGTTCATAAAACTGGCGAGCAGACGACACGTTGTCTCCTCTGCGAACATAGGAATCGAACGTACGAATACGAGAATCGTGGTACTCGATACACGTGAAATTAGCAGAGTCCGTTCACGAACGATTCTATCGATCCTGGTAAACCGGGTTGCGTGAACTCGTCGAAGAACATACCCTGACATACTTGAAAACTCGGCCTAATCGGCGTTGCGGCCACGCTGTCGCCACCCTTTCGTTCGTTTACACCGACGATATGTACAAAATGATGAGGGACACCAATAGACAGCTCGAGGATAAGATGGGTCCCGCAGTTCCGGTCTGCATCGCCTCTGGTCGTTCGCCTGCAACAGAAATAAGAGCAAAGTTCCACGTCTCGTTGTCATTTTCCACGAAAACATAAATTTCCAGAGGGATAATTATTATCGTAAACTTTTGATCGATAGCGTTGATGTAATCGCTGGTAGAACGCTTTGTCGGATCTCCTCTTGGCGACGTATCCTCCCGCACTTCCGATAAATTAATATCGGAAGTTCTGGGATTCCAGGAAGTCAGGCTGCGGTGAGGGATCGAGGATCAAGAGCTCTTGATTGCATCCGGTCGATGATGTACGGCTCTGTTCAAGAATCCCAATATGTGTTATCATACGCGCTTTATTTATCCGCTGTCTGATGTTGTTCCTTTGATGATAACGCTTTCGTAACTATCGTGGTTAGCGTTCGAAATGTTGCGGAAATTTCTTGCTCGGGAAATTTATCGACGTCCTGGTGATCCGATTAATAATTAAGAAGGGAACGCAAAGTGGAGTTGAAATTTTCAGAGCAAACCATTAAAAGAATTATCGTCGAACCGTGATGGGGAATGAAAGGATTAATGAAAATGCTACATTTTTCTCCTCGGTTCAAGCGAATCTGTGTGTTGCAGAAGTTTTCAATGCATCACTGTGCCACGGTTCCCTGGGTTTAAAGAAGCGAGCTGCTTCCAACCCGGAAAAATAAGTTTTTTCGCGAAAGACGGAGCATTTCAGAGGGAAAGTTGCCGGGATTGTTTGCGTTGCGAGCGAAAAATATATCCGCTCGTATAAAGAGTTGCCTAAATCGTTCGTTCCGGTTGTAGAATCGCATCAAGAGTCGTTTTAATCAAAACGCGAGACGTTTGTTTAACGAGAACACCTCGAGACGAAGGAAATAAGGATTTTCCAGCATAATCGTGGATGATCTTTCACCTTTTCCTTTGTTTACCGCCAGTTTTCCCGACGTTTAGCTTATTTCATCCTCTGAAGTAACGTGAAATTATTTACATAGATGCAATTGCGTTTATAATATGCATAAAGGAAGTACTCGAGCACTGAAAAATTTAATAAACATTTAGTTTCTTTTTAACGCTTTCCCAAGCTGCGAGGAATGTTTCGAAAGGCTAAATGTTCTCGTTAAGCGTCGGCCAAGTGTTTTATGCGACGAACCGAGATGCAATTTCCGCGCGATTTCGAGCCGATTCGCGCAACTTTCTAAGAACCTCTCGGTCCACGGAATTCGCGTAATTTACATAGACAGAAAATTCGTCGTCGTCGCTCGACGACCTCTATTTCTCAACAAGAAACATCAGCTCAAGTTTCGAAATTGCTACGGCGAAGTTTCGCATCTCTCGGGGAAGAATTTTGATTTAAAACGTGACCCGGCTGTAAAAAAAGATACGCGAACAAAACATGTTCGAGATATGGACGATATTCGCGGGTAAAGCGGTTCTGAAAAGCACCGACCAACGTAACAACGGGAACGTAATGAAAGTCGTGGAAAATCTTGTTTAAAATTGCATTAACGAAACTATTTCCCTGGGGAGGTGGGAGAAGGCTTCCTCGTATCGGTGAACACCAGGGCAAACATTCAGCTACCGTTGAAACTCGTTTTCTCTTGGTGTGCTCGCGAGAGACCGTCGCTGAATAAACATGCAAAACTTGGCGACCGCGTAATTGCCAAGTTCCGCGATAGGCCGATTGCAGAGGCCTGCGAAAATCTGGGAGAGGACAGCTGCGCGCGATAACGACGGAAATTTTCCCATCTGCCGGTGAAACCTGGCCCGTTGGTTTAAACTCGCATTCGCGGGAAAATTAATGGGTTAAGAAAACACTGTTTCACCGCGACGCGCCCTTTGAAAACGTGTTCTCCCATTTTCCATTCGATTCGTCGTTCGAGCTGAAAATTACACGATCTAATCTTATAAACACTCACCATTCAGAACGTGAACTTTGATGGACGCGGTATTGGCGTTGCTGGGTTTGCAGCTATACTCCCCGGAGTCCGAGGGTTGCGCCGTCTGAATAAGGAGCCAAGAGGTGGTGACGTCGCCGCCCTTTTCAGTTATCACCGAGATGCCACCCCTGGGACTGTCGTAGCTCAACACTTGCTTATTGTAGTACCAAAAGATGTAGGCTGGTGGTTCCGAGCTGAAGTGTATCACACACGTCAGGTTTATCGTGCTTCCAGCGCCCACGTACAGATCTGGACCACCCAGTATCGTTGCTGTCGGTACTGCGACAAAGAACCACTCCTATTTTTCTCTCTTCCTTCGATCCTTTCGTAAAAACCCTCTCTACGATCCCTAGTCTCGTTGAAATTACCGCGAAACCTGTTCCCGTGCAAGATACTCGAAGAAAGTACTTTACCGATCCGCGTCGAATTAACGAGTCGAAGCTTGTTAACGGTGGCCAAGGTCATTCTAATTGAAATAACGAGGTCGACGTCGCGCTCTGTAGAATTAGGATTTACTCAATGGCTCGTCGATAGCTCGTTCAATACATTCGGATCATTATTTTATGAATCGTGCCGAGAGCCAGCACTCGGAATTCTAGATTCATATTTTTTTTTCTGATTTATCCAATTACAGTGAAGATTCGATGTAAGCGAAGAATTTATTCTCTTCATTGGAGGGGTACAACACCATAAGATTAGTGTAATACGATTTCAGATCGAACATATCGATGAGATACACTGATACTTGCTATCCTTTTCTATGTTCGAGGCTGTCGGCAAAGTTTTAACAATGCAGGAAATGTAGCCCGAGCGTTTCTCTTACATCGACTCTTTACTGTAACGACCCGTAATAATGTAGTCGGTGAATAAAAACTTACCAACGACGTTTAAACGAAATTGGTGCGACTTGACGGGAATAGTGGAGATCTGACACTCGTACAGTCCCTGGTCTCTCTCTTGCGCCCACTTTATGCAAAGAGTCCATTCAGACCACTCGCTATTTTGGCCTGTATTTTTTTTGTGAAGCGCTTGGAATCGCTGATCGCTCGTGTAGGTGTACGACCCTGCCGTTAAAATGTGAATGTCTCTGTTCCTGACCCAGGATACCTTTGCAAACGGAATTTCAAAGAGGAGTCAATGATGGTTATCGAGGCAGATCGTTCGGAGTGCTTTGAATAGCTACCACCGATCGTTAAAGTGAATTCGATGATGACGGAAACGTTCGTTTGAAAAATTATTTTCCTTTTTCCAGGTAACGAGTAGAAAAATTTCTGTTTCATTTTCACCGACGACGATCCATCCCTGTTTACCGTGTAGTTTAACGAAAAATTAAAACGCTTTAACGGAAGCATACATCACTTTAAGGGCTACACGTTGTACGAACCGGGTGGCTAAATATTGCAAGCGATAAAACGAAGCCCCGAGGCTGGAAGTTCGGGAAATCTTTGAAAATTCTTGGAAATTCTCGTGCCAGGCGTACACGAACGTCGGGCTCGGAATCAATATTTCACATTCGTCTGTTCGTTCTGTTGCGTTAAATATTTGAAGACTCGAAGGCGCGAGAACTGCAACTCGAGTAGATAGGGTCGACGTCATCCGGCGAACACTATCCGCCGCCGCGTGTAATACATAATTTGTTTCGACGAAGGAGACATTTAAACTTCGGCTAGGCTGAAGTTCGACGTCTTCGGGGACGACGGTAATTTCATCAGCCGTGTATGCGCTCTCACGGCGGACCTGCCTCTTACCGGGAACGAGAAAGTAATCTCGTAAACTCTGCGGAAGTCTGGCTCGGCGGAACAGCTTCCGCCGTACCGATTTCATCCCGATACGAAAAAAGAGACCGCAGCAACGTTGCATTTCCACTGTTTCCGCGTTTACGGTCAGCCAAAAATCACCGATCCGTGAATGAACCGGCGAAACTTTCAACTCTGCTCGAAAACTTCCCAGCTCGTATCGAATGAAACACGAAATCGCTGATATTTCCACGGATTTTTTTTTTTTTTTTTTTTTTTTTTTCAAATCGAAAACCTACCGCGGGAGAGAAATATTTTTGGCTCGTTCGCGCTTTAAAGTTCAAGGATGCTTCGACGAGTATCGGAGTTTTACATTAACCTGGAGCATCTTTGACCTCGCCGGAGTAGCCGGCCTCTTGTTACAATTTCATCGCTCCCTAGAAAGCTGATGTCTGCAAGAAAACTTGAGTCGTAAAGCGAGCCTGAAAGCGCAGACGTAAACAATGAATTTTCTCGGTTCGTCGACCTACGATCATTTTTACAAACTCGGGCATTTCAAGACAGAATATAGAGAAATTTTCAGAATAAAACACTTTATTCGGAGTAACTCGGTACGTTTCCCGACGGAAACAGCATCATCGAGAGCGAAAAACTTAATAAACCGTTGCTGAATGATGACACGCGAAACGCGTACCATTTCTTTATGGAACGTCGTGAAAAGCTTATGAATCCTCTCGGTCTCGCCGATATACCCTCGGTAATTCATCCGTCGACGTAAACCGGAAAAGGCAGCTGTCTCCTCGAACAGCTTCGAAGGCCAGCGTACGAGTTTCCCACCACTTAACGTATTTACTCGAAGAAGTTTACGTGTCTGAGCGTCTGGCAAGCTGCTGTCGTTACTGCACGGGAACAGAAGCAGTTTAACGCTTGCAAACTTACCCATCAAGATCGGACGGGATGTTATGGGTCTCGAAGGAAAGCGAAACTACAGGGAACACGTCCAAAATGATGAATACCGACCATTAAGCGAACCTACAAGTATCCCGGGTTATCGTTCGTTAAATAAACTCGTAAATTCTCTCGGTCCATGCTACTTTTTTCGATTACCATCTTCGTCTGAAGATAAAACGAGCAGACTAATTGATAAAGGCTTGGAAAAGATGATCGATCGGGTAACGTGAAATTCGTAGATTTCGAGGATTTTCGGATAAAACGAAAAGGGGGGCAAAAGTGTCGAGATAACATGCAAAGTGGCGGGAATCACATATCGAGGAAATCCGTGTGACCCAGTAATTCGGACGTCGAGCGAATGGAATTCCATGGCTGACGCGTAGGAACGAATGAAATTAAGGTACCTCGGCCCTCTGCCGGACTGTATAATGAATTCGCTTAATACGGTTTACACACTCCCAAATAGCGAAATTGAACGGCCCTGTTTCAACTGTACGAACCTCCTATCTACGCGTCACGATCTCTCGTTCGTTTTATCGGGATCCCACCCCCGCGTGTCGCCTTCTCCTTTCTTCCGGTGTAATCCTATTTGCACTTTGGCTACTAATCGAGCCGGAGTTTGTCCACGGGCTTTTCGCTGGAATATTTTACAACGGAGGAACACGACTAATCGAAAGAAAGCTTGTACACATAATCTGGGGTTAACTTCGTCCAGGGATTTTCCTGGGTAAGGGTTTCCGGGGAGGTAATATTTGTTCCGTTCCATTCTGTAATTACAAACGTTCAGGTTGTATTAAAGTGGTCGGATAGGTTTGCACTTCGAGAATCAACCTACGTGTTCCGCAGCGATAAAATAAAACGATGCCAGGGAAGAAACTATTCTTGGATAAACCTGGTTCTCGATAGAAATTACACGAAAGAGATTGAAAAATGGCGATGGGCGAGGATCAAACGGATCGGACTGGTCGTTGAATCTTTGTAACCGAATTGCCAATCGACGAACAGGTCGGACGGAAAGGTAATTGTATAGCTTTAGGATAGTAATGTCGATGGAACTTGATGACAAAGTCATAATTCGAGTAGCCTTGCGCAACCCTGGGCATTACTTTTCGATCGAGCAATACCTGTAACGCCGCGACCTGCGGTAAAATTGAGTTTCCAGTTGCCTTGAAGGTCGATTAACGTCCAATCGAGCCGGAGCAACTCGATTATTTCCTGTAAATCGCTTTTCCTAAGGTCTTTACCAGGGGGTGCCCGGATTTCCCGTCTCGCTCCAGTCAGGAACGGTGCGCGCGGTTCTTTGTCGTAATTACCTTGCCAGGCCACAAATTTGTCGAAACCCCCGGTGGAATAACGTTGATAGCAAGAGGCGAAAGCATTTTTCTGATACATTAACCTGTCGCGTGCAATTTTTCCGCGTTATTCCTGGACCGGTTGTAAAAGCATCTCTCGAATGGAAATAAACGTTCGAGGGTGATTGGAAATTGCGAGAAACGGTCGGTCGGAAAATGGTGGAAATTTTCCTCGTTGCTAGATCGGATAATGGGCTCGAGCGATTGGGAAATCATAAGAGAGCCTTACGGTTTTGTCGCCCACGTTGCGGACTCGGCACGTCAGATAAGCGGTCTTTCCAATCAGGGCTGTCACGTTGGTGTTTTGCGAATAGTCGAACGTCGGCTCGGCCTTCGCTTTCACGCTCGAAGGGTCCACCAGCAATTGGTTTCGCGGTCTGCTTTGGCTGACGTGTCGATCCATGTCTATCGTCCGATCTCCTAAACTGAGTGTATCTGCAACAGAAAGGTAAAATCCACCGATCAAACGGATTGCCAGCAAAGTGAAAGCGCCTTTGTTGAACGACGTTGATCTGGATGGGTGTTAAGGCTTGCAGATCTGTCGGAGGAAGGCAAGCCGTGAATCCATCATTTTTGAAAGGAACAGGACAAGTGGCAGGAATCGCTTTTATTACGGTCTTTAGACAGCTTTCAGGGAACCAACAGACCTGTCGTTCGATTCTATATACAATACTCAGGGGTAGATCGTCATTTTTCAGTGATATTTTATTAAACTTTGAAAATTAACGCGAAAGTAACAGTAGTATTTTCCACTGTAAAGTTTCAACAACGGCTACGTTGGAAATAGAACGCGACGAAAAATAATTTCCACCCCTGATGCGTTCGACGGAATGGTCGTTGCGTTGCGGGAATAATTGATTTTAAGTGGACACGGGTACGCGTTTATTTCTGTTATATTACGTTTATCGTTACCGACGGACTAAATTGCTCCGTTATTGCGCCATTGTCGAAAATCAGATTCAACATTCGGATCCAGCATTAAATTTGCCTGGTCCTTCGTGCTAGCGAGCACGATGTTTATAAAAACTCCGATAGCATTGCTTCAATTTCCCCTCCATTGGCCCCGAACTCTGTTAGAGTCGTAACTAATATAATTACAGGCGTCGAATATTAATGTTCATTTATTTCGTTATTTGCATGGTAATCGTTATTACAACCGTGCTCTATATTGAATAGCGAATACGACGCTTTGGATAAATAATACGATATTGAGGTAAATGAATCCTTGGACGGCGGACCATGGAGAGAGCCCCAATTTCAATATCTAAATTTTACACGGTTCCTCCGAAAATTGTTCCTCCAACATATGAAACCTTTTCATTAAAAAATTATACATTTAACTTTAATTTAATTTAATTTTCTTGGTTGGGTCACGATTAACCCAGCCTCCTCTGTTCAAGCTTGGAATATACCTATATTTATTAACGAAATACTTTAGGTTAAAAGCTACAGGCTGCTCAGTGCATAAAATTTTACGTTCTCTTAAAGTAGATGGAAATCGTGGGAATATAAGGAAATAGGAAAGAACTGTTGGCCGTATCTAAGCCAAATAAATTGTCGAAGCGAACGGGCGGGCAAGAATAGGGGAGAAGCAGTTTAAATAGGAAAGCTCATACAAAGTGGCTATGGTTCACTTCTCGGCGAACTATAATAGCCACGGGATGTAGGTATAGCCAGAAGGAGATTGGACGAAATTAGATTAGATCAGAGCTCATTACACTTTGGCTTAAGAGTGAATTAGGTAGAGAATGGGCTGTCGGAGTGGCGGCGGAGAAAAGGCACCCCTAGCCGGAGGGCTTGCATCGTCCTCCGTTGTTTTTCTCGTAATCCATCAACGGCAGGGAGGGAAAAAAAAGTTGAAAAAAACAGCGGGTACGATACAGTCGTCTAGTCGCTCGAAACGCGTATGCAGTAGCGTGCGTTATTAATATACATGAATAGAAGCATGACCCACCCTCGACCTGTTCTTTCGACTATGCTAATTTTCCGACTCCCGCGATACCTAAGCGAGTGACTTTTTCAATCGCTAAAATAAACCACTCTCGTGGCAACTGAATAAAAATCATACCTTTGATAGCTACGAATTAATTAATTAATTTGCACGGAGGTTAATCGTTTGACGTTGCTTTCTAATACAAAGTTTGCAAACACTGCTCATCGAGCATCGCTGGAGAATGGTCGTAAATACAGTGGAAGGTATTACCAAGTACAAGAATTTTGCCCCGTTAATTGCACTTTGTCTCCGTTCTTGCCGGCGTTGCTGTTATTTAAGCCCGGCGAGCGATCAGGGGAATAGCAATATAATAAATCCGTCTGGTGCGTAGTAGGGGGCACGTTTCTAGATATTTTATGCGCTTTACCACGCGCTCGCTTTAATTAATTCTGTAGCAACAACTAAGCTCCGAGAGCTTATAACGAGCTTTTCCCTGCACTCTGGGGACTCCTCTTTGGCTTTCCTAGAAATCTCCCCCCCTTGGCCCCTTCTCTTTCCCTCCACTTTATACCGTATATCCTGTTTTCGCGCATCGACCTACCAGATGTGTGTCAGCAACGCGTTATACACCTCTCTGTACGTTGTTTCCTGGTTTTATCCGGTGCTCGTTAGATCCGCCGTTTAATTGAACCGTCTCAATTCCTTAATTAAGAAGGACGTAAAAACTTGCTGACTCGTGACCGAAGGAACGAGCTTCCTCGCTTTTCTTTTCCTGCTTTTTTTTTTTTTTTCTTTCGAAAATGAATCGAGCGATCAGTATTCATAGAACAGCATGGACCGGTTGGATTTCGCTGTAGGGGTTTTTAGGTCGCGGTAAAGAACGTGGATTTCCTTCGAGCCGCGTACAATTTACTCGAAATGCCTCGATTTATCTCGATGGACGCGCGGTAAATAGACTTTATTCTAAAAGCTCATCAATATTTATAGACACGCGATGGCTGTACCGCGTTATGGCCTATCGAACTGTGTCAGCCAGGGAAGTCGAGCTATAAGGTAAACAAACATATTTCCGTTTTATGGAGAAGAATTTTATTTGACGCGAAAATATAATCGATAAACGCGTGTTTCACGAGCAGAAGAACCTTCTTGAGGAACAAGCTTTCAGCAGGATGCTTCGTTGAATTATTATCGATTGAACGCTCGGTGATCCGGAGTAATTGTTCCGAACGCTTTAGCGACTGTTTATCTCGCCGTAGGATAGTGTTTAACGGCGAGGAAAGGGAGAAAATATTGGATACCAGTGAAATTACATTGGAAATTCGAAACAGCATATCTGAAACGTTAGATTACAGAAACGGGCGTCGACTACCGCAGTGGAAACGCGTGTCGTCAGACCTGTTTGATACTTTACAGCTGTCGTTAAATATTCAACGTGTAATCAATATCGGTAACAATAAGAATCAACTCGGAGTACCATCGTGAAAATAACTCGCCACGATATTTTATCGAAACGGGGAAAATTTACGACGTTTCCAACGGTTCTCGAGGAAACTTTACCGGGGTGATAAGCATAATTGCCAAGATGATCGAGCGCGCGGTCAGGATCGTCTATCATCGGTAAATCGTGCCTAATGAAAAATAATGACGGATCTCGTTGGGAAGTTTCAGGGAAAATAAAATTACTCCCAACGGCGGCCGTGATGAAATGCAATGACAATTTTCAATGACTTATGGCCGACTGGCGGCGCGACAAATTGCCACCCATTCATTTTCAGCCAGGTGAGAAAAAGCCGTATTCGTCGGCTCTGTCCTTCTGACTTCTGGTAAATTGGAGCGGTCGTTTGACGCGGACGGTAACTCGCGTTATGACAGTAGAGTCCTCGGTTACCGCCACTGGATTCGTTGCAATTGCATCCACCCTGTCTCCTCCCATTAACCAGTACGATATCGTTTTGTTACGTGCCACGTCGAGTTGGCAGTGAATTTCAGAAATTTCACTCGGGGATTTACCGGTTAGACGGATTCGCGGTGTCGCGATCCCTAGCAGAGCGTGTCAAAGGGCTAAATTACTTTCCTTCGAAATCCCTGATCCTACGACCGTTACCGCTACACCTTTGCCCGAGGGATTTTCACTCGAATCACATTGGCGTTTAGAGATTAAGATATTTAAGGGACTCCCGGCTGCGGTTCCCGGCCCGTTTCTCTCCGCATTTCCCCGCTATTTCCATGCGGAAAGACCCAGAGAGAAATCGAGAGGAAGGAACAGAGAGAGGATTTCGGCTTTCGTCGCCGCTGATCTGAATATTTAGATCGCTTTGGGACTCGAAGACGAACGACCCTTAGCCAACCATGAAAAGATCGTTTTCCACGGAGTTATGATCTTATTTCAGGCTTCTGCGACTTGTACCTTCGTCGCGACTTCCTCGGGACGGAGATAATTAAAATGATGTTTTTACATTTTCCTAAAAGTATCCATCCGCGTTGTCGATCGCGAGCGAATCGAACATTCAAAAGCATTGTTCGCGGCGCAACAATGTCGTCAAAGCGCGAGCAATTTTCAGCGAGGGAAAACGTATCGACATGTCGCTCGGTTTCGCGGAAATTTCATCGCAAAAACCTGACGTACGAAACGTATACGCGGCCGTGCAGCCAATGAACAATCAAATTGATTCGAACACGCTTCGTCGATGAGTTTCAGACTCGAATCAGAGGATGAAAACTACGTTATTGCGAGCACCGGCCAAAAAAAAAAGAAAAACAGGATTCAGGAAACACATTTTCCTTTGGGAAAGAATGGTGTTCGTTTGTTCGAAATTGAAAGTTCCGAGGGATAATGGGAAGAGAATTATTCACACACGTTGGAATACTATACTAGGCGTGAAAGCTGGTTAATTAACGAGGCTGTTGCAATTTTCGTTCGCGATTCTGAAAACTTTGAACGCGATCCAAGCATCCCGTGCGGTTTGAATTAATCCTCACGATAAAGCAGTCGGTAAAGTTACGGTGAGGGGAAAGCCTGGCTAATTAATGAGCGTGTTGCTTTTTTTTCTCTCCCCGTTACGATTCTCAAAACTTTCAGAGCCACCGGTGCGCGAGTTGCCCACCTACCCCTCTGCGGTTCGAATTAATCCTCGCGATAAAGCGGTCGACGATGCTAACGGTAGGCGCGAGGAAAAATGAATACAAGCTGTTCCTTTCAGGGCGGCGTTAATTATCGTGCGCCAGCTCACGTGCGTATTTAGTGTAAATCAGCGAATTAAATGGGCTCGGCTTGAAACCGCGGAGTGCGCCGGCACATCGCATCGGTCTCGCGAGGCGGCGGCTAGAAAAGCTAGCCGGGGCTCGATAAATAAGTTCGATAAGAGGGCTCCTTATCTTTCTAAATAGGCAATGTAATTTAATCACACGAAGGGTACGGTCGCGTGACCCCGTCACAGATTTGTCTCTCGAGCTTACGTTGCGAAGGTATGCAGGGACTCCCGTCACTTATTTTTTCCTTGTCACCGCAGATTGCGGGAAATAAATAGCTCCCGTTGTGCTATGTACGCGTACTATAAACTTTCTCGTACCGCCACTGCAGATGATTTGTGGATGGGAACAAGACGCGAGCAAAACGACGGGAATATTGATATACGCGGCCGCGATAAGTTCCGCTTCCGTGTTGCCAGCTTGTTCGGACGAGGCTCGCGTGGATACGACTTACAAGTACTTGTACCATCGCTCGAGCTTTTAATGGAATTACCGTTCGCTTGCTTTATTGCATTCTCCCGCGATTCTGTTTCGGACGTGTCTTTCAGCGTCGATGCAGATTTACTCGTCGCGATCTCGTTTTCGATAAACCGATTCAATTATGGGAGAGCTTTTGATCGTTAGGATCTTCAGGAGAATGGTAATCAAGGGCCTTTTGTACGCGCAACGTTTGTTTAAAAAATTTATTTCCCTCTACGAAATACAGCCTCACCCTGTGCAGAGTTTCGCGTCACTCTGCTTTGCATGGAATATTTAGAATGTTTGTTCGTGTAATCGAGATCCCATTGTGAAGAGAAATTTCACTATACGTTGGAACACTGTTGTTACGAAAACTGTTTATCAACGTTTGTTCGGGATTAAAAATTCATCCTCAAATATGAAGAACATCTCGGGGGAGAAAGAGAGTTGTAAGGCTGGGATGGAGCTTTCCCAAGAGATAATATTAGTCGGAATCGTCGCAACTGGGTCACTTACATCGTTAAAACGGTTACGCGTTCAATAAAAGTTAACGAGCTGGGCTTGTATAGAATGAGGGCCTTGATGAATAAAAAATTGGCACGCAATTGCAGATTTTCAGGTACATTCAATCGGGATTTTTGCGAATGAAATTAACAATTGTGTTACGCGAACGACAAAAGGGGAAAATATAACACGTAATGTTTTATTGTTTGATGAGATCGCCGCTCGCAAAAATGAATTTCGCGAAACGAAATCGCGCCAACTGAATTATATTCGTACAATAATAAAACAAAAAACAAAAAGAAGAGTAAATACCCGTAGGAAACGTGAATTAAATTCATCCGTTTTGATACTGAAAGGGTAAAAATATCAACTGGAAAATTTGCATAACAATGACTGGACGCTTTCGTAATTTACTCCGTCGAACAATCACCGTACAATTTTTAACCAGGGTATTTGTTTCCTTGACATTCTTCAGTTCCGTTGGCCTATTATAACGACAAATAAACATCCTCCATTAAAATGATATTATTTCACTTTGAAAGAAGAAAAGAAAAGGAAATCACACCGTCTACATCATCGTTCAAGTTTACGCGTAATTATCATAATTTCTAGATTTGGGTCTCGAACGATCCCCAATGGTACCACGAATCGAATTCTATTAGGCAAACAATTAATGTAGGCAGACGGATAATGGGGACATAATGGGGAAACTCTGGTAATGAATAACTTAAACTCGATCGGGTGCAGCCCTGGGGGTAGTAACCCGGGGCAAGTGAAAAATCTCCCTTCAAAAAAAAATCTCTTTAAACGATAAATCGCCCTATGGCCATTGAAGCAGCCGTCGCTTGTCGGGAGAACCGTCCCGATCTCACGTCTTCGCAATTTATCGGCGTATAAGCTGCACCGTATTGGCCCTATTAGACTCGTTAACGATCTCGGATCAGATTTCATCGCTTCGTTCCTTCGAAACGAGCAGGCATTCCCTTAACCGTCCCGTACGATCAAAATAAAGAAAAAAGGAGACTCGGAAGAAAATACGAGACGGGGAAGGAAAAACGTTTCAGGAGAAAAGAAGAGGGACGGAGAGTAGCAGGAGATAAAAGCAATTAATTAAAGCTCGAAGCCTCTCTTCGTTCTTTTTCTTCGACCCCTACCCCGTTCCACCGTCACTTCTTTACTTCCTTTTTACCCTCTTTTCTTTCTATATCCTGTAAATCCTGCGCTCAAAGGTCGATCCTCTTCCGTCGCGAGAACGAACCGACGACGACGCGACGTATCACCATTATGGGACAAGTGGGCCACGTCGCGAAATAATGGAACGGTCATGATTTTGTGAGTTTATCGTCACTCGTCACGTGACGCGGAAATGCAGCTCGGATGGTGTCGACGGCAGGGTCGGGGGAGGGCGCGGACCTCTGCGTTTAAAGCGGGTCGAGGGTGCTCGCGCTTAGGCTCGTAATTAAAACACGCCGGAACTTAATGTTTCCTACTCTACGAGGACTTTGTAATAACAAGCCTTGCGAAAGTGTACGGAGGAGAGTGTATTTTCCTCGGAACAGCAACCAGCGTATCCGGACCGTTCGATAGTTTCCCCGTATCCGTTCGACTCGTTGTTTTTCACCGCGAGAATAATTGAACGAGGGCTGATAATGAAAATGACCGTTGTTATTCGTTGTCTTCGAAAAGCAGGGTTTTTGTTACGAACCAACCCTGCTTTCAAATGAATTTACGATGACAGCCGATTCGAAACGTTGAACTATATATTTTTTTTTTCTTTCTTTTGCCGAGACAAGAAAGGACATTCCACGATTACAAGGGAAGCCGCAATCGTTCTCCGCAAAACTCGCAGGACGGAAACGGGATAGCTCAATTTATCATCCAGATAAAGGAATCACAATGGTTCCTCCGGCGAGCGAGTTCGATAACGTGCAGCTAAAGCTACGAAACTCGGCGGCGACGAAGCGAGGCAATAAGATAAGATTTCGAAAAGTTCGTGGGTTTGCTTGAAAAGAAACAGCCAGCAACTGAATCTATCCGATACAAGTGCAACGGCGATACAGTGACACAATTGTTCAGGATGTAGCAACGTTGCAGCGAAGAGAAACGCAGCTTTTTTTATTACTCTTCGCCGTTGAAACTTTCTTTTTTTTTTGTAATAGAACAATGACCTGAATTTATTTAACGAAACACAACGATCGCGTTCTAATCGCGTTCCATCGTACTTTCCACGTTTGCCAATTTCACCGGTGTATTTTGCTTTCTCCCCGATTCTCTCCCTTAATTTTGCAAATGTAGAATTTCCCTCCTTCCATCCGGTTACCGTGAACTGTTCGCAACAATAGATTTTTACAGTTTTTGTTGGGGAAAAAATTTGTCGTTCGCATTGTTTGAAATCAGCGTGGCGAGGGGAAAAGCAACGATACACGGGGTAGAGATCGGTAGAAATTTTTAAAACTGTATCATCCTCTTAACAACACAATGTTTTTTGCGTTAATTGCTAAACGAGCTGACTATTAATTAGCAAAAAATAACGGACGAATTTATATATCTATGAATTTGTAATTAACGAGTAAAACAAAGCCGACGATGAATTTAATCAAACCGCGAGTTACGACTATGTTAACGATCTCCTTAAGTGATCGAGTTAATGAAACGAAAAGACGAACGGTGATCCCATAGTGGTCGCAAGCCGTAATAATAAAAGAACTAGGTCGACTAAAAACGATAATTCTTTAATATTTTTCATAGACTGCAATTTCTTTGCATTGCAATTCATTTCTTCTCCTTCGAGAAAATTAGTTTCACGATCGTAGCAATGTTGATGCAATTCGTCTGAAAGTTTCTTCGAAAAAACCGAAGGCTATTTCCAACGAACGCAATTTTCTTGTATAAACAGCTCCTAGGTAGGATACGAGGTATTAAGAACCGGGAAAGCAAACTAGCGACTGTTCGGGGAAGCTCTATACTCTCGGTGGAGTCGTTGATAACCGACGGTGTGCACCGTTTAATTTCACCTATTTTCAATGCATTAATAGTGAACGTGTTTGCGCAGCGGAAGGAACGATGCTCTTCTCTCTGGCTGCTCGTGGTACAGCGAATCGAGCGAGAAACATCTTCAAACAAATCCCCGTACGAAAATTGTAGCAACCGTAAATAGTAACGAGATGGTTGCATTATTCAGCTATTTTGCACACAGGCAACAAAGAGTTATTTTAGTCAATTTCCTTCGTTTCCAGAACCGAGAGAAAACTATTTCATAGGGGAAGAAAAATATTAACCCATTATTTCAACGATAATTATTCATTTTCTGGTAAAATACAATCGCTATAGAGTATCAGGGAGCGCAAAGGCAGGATTTAATCTACCGTAGGAAATTTTGCCAGGGGACAAAGATAGACGGTGGCGTGTACGGCGTTGAACGGAATTGCCAAAGTTGTTCGTCTAGAACGACAATGGCGTAAACGAGGTGTGAACCGAGTGTAGCTAGCCAGGATGCTCTCTAAGAGTAGTAGGCGCGTTTGATTTTCGAGAGGATCGAGCCTGTTTCGTGTATATACGAACGCGAGTAACACCACGCCACGTCGCGTCTGGTAATTAGTTTACTAGATCGATATTAACGAAACAAGAAAACAAGTGTTGAAGAGAGAGAGAGAGAGAAATAGTGTCGCGTTTTATGGCAGAAAGAAAAAGCTTTCCCTGTGATCGTGTGTATCACTCCGAGGCAGAGACCTAGACTGACCCATGAATAATGCATCCTATAAATTCGCGTCGCACGCACGCATGCATGCCGCTGGTAATTCCATTAGTGGCACCAGTTTGCCGCTCGATAGCTACCCGCGTTCTCGATCGAATGACTTCTGTTCGTCCGTATGGATCAACCAATTTTTTCACCTATAACTAAAGTCCATATCGAGGCTTAACAATTTATTTTCTCGGGTATAAAATTGATCGACCGGTAAGAAATTTTCTTTCGTTTCACAAGCACACCGATTCTTTTTTCCCCGGTTCACTTTCGAGGAAAAAACGTTTTTTAAAGAGAACGTGCAATTACCTTCGGTGCACATGAAGAGTATGGCAGCAATGGACAGCCTCGCCTGCCACCTCAAAGCCATCTCCGCAACTGTTTTTTCGACGTCGCGTTCACTTTGATACTGAAGCGATTCACATCCTCTTCGCCGGCTGACAGCGCACCGTCCACTCACTGTCACGCAAAACACTAAACGACTCGGGGGAATCTTTATCGCGAACGCGTTCTCATCGTCCCGGTAATTGGGGAACGGTGTCCGACGCTGATACGAGCAACAGCGAGAGGAAAAGATCCGAGGCAGGCTCGACGTTAGTCCGATCCAAAACACCCCCGCGACGCTTCGATCGCGTACGAGGATCGATTATCTTTCGGTCTATTGTCCTTCCGTGGATCTTCCATAGGACGTTCCCTCTTCCAGGGCGTAAACTGGCGGAAAACTCGCGCGCGCACTGCTCGATGGAGACGTTGCTCAAGTTTCAAATATGCCACCTTTCGCACTAGCCGCCACGGGGATGAAGAGGACGCGCATCGGGAACGCTTACGCCGTCAACTTTCCCCGTGAAACCGGGAAACTTTCGATCCTCCGTGTGGATCGTTTCAATTCCTTCAACTCTTTCGTTTCTCGAGCTCAGTCCGATAGCCGAACGGCCGCTATTCGATTGATCATCGAATATTTAGAGCAGGTTAAAAAGGAATCAACACCAGAAACAATCTCCAAAGCGTCTATGAGTCCGTTTCGCGAAGCGTTTCATCCTTATCATCAACGTTTTATCATTTTCAAAGCGTAAGCGAGATCGAAAGTTCGATGCACTTCGGTCGATCGAAAGGGTAGGAAGATGCATTCAAAGCCTATCGCATCCCCGCGAACAAAGTTCCAACATCGTTTTCACGTGCGGTCACGTCGGACGCGATTCCTTCCACTGAAACTCGTCGGATTATCCGTCGATACGAACTCCTGGAAACACGATTTACACTGATCACACGGTTCAAGTCTGACGGAACGTAGCGAAGAGGGTGGTCGGCAAGTTTCTTCTCATCGCCGAGCGGGTTTAACTCGGTCAAACGGGGGGAGGATTTATTTATTTTTTTTTTTTTTTTTAATAAAAATCACGGCTATGTATACGCGACATCGTAGAGAGGAGGACGCGTCGACACGCACCACGTCTTGATTCGGTGGTAGATTTACCCTGACTGGGGAGATTGTCGGCCGTGGGAGCATGCGCGCTTCCGATCCACCTCCTGTGATGGTGGAAACGCGCAGAGGGTCCACGAACAGGGTCCGCGCACACGTAAAGTCCTCTCGACACATCAGCATCTTCGTACACACGTACATATGCGCGTAGCCGTGTGTGTGCGTGTATGTCAGCAAGCAAGCTCACCTATATTCTCGTAGCCGGGTGTGTAGGTGTAGTCGTAAGGGTAGCCCTTGTCGGTCACGACGTACGGCACTGTGTGTCACGGGCAGAAAGTGTGGCAGGGCGTGCAACGAGTACGGAATCGAGGTACGAAACCAACGATACTTCTTTTTTTCAGAGGGGTGCCATTAACGATAGACCGGTAATCACGTCGTATCACTTCGATTATAAGGGTTGTTATCGAAGCAGATGGTTTGTTTGAGGGGAGGTTCTGGTATTTTTTTTTTCTTTTATTTATTATATAATATTCTATTATTTTAATATAAAATGAAAAATGTCATATCGTCTAGTGTCGATAATTTATTTCGTTTGCTGATAGGATTGCAGAACATTTGTCGCGCGAAATCGCTACAAGATTGACGCGCGTTAAAAATATATCATGGAAAAGTCGCACGTAAAAGCTGAACTGTCAACGATGTTGTACATTTGATTCGAAATGATTTTTATTATACTCATTCGGAAGAAATATTAATGGGAGCGCTGACGAGATATTTTTCTACGTTATTCAAAACGCTATCAGCATCGGCGTACTTTCGATGCGGCTGGGGGAACAAGGATTAATATCCGAACCGCGTTGAGGGATGTTCGAGTAAAATTCAAGGGATTATTATGGGCGACAGGTTGAAAAATCAGCTGGTGATCTTAATTTTCCGCGCGTCACGTGCGATCAGATAGCGTTAGACGCGATTATGGGATCGTCGAACGGCAGGACGGTGGAGAGAAAATATGTAAAGAGGGTGCAATATTTTGACGACACAAGGGTGAAACAAATGACGTTACAGGTGCTCGTATTACCGGGGCCAAGCCTCAAGCTTAACAACTATACGGGAAAGTTTGATGAAATCTACTTTATAACCCTCGCTTTGTGAAATATTTGCAGGAAAATTTCGCTCGCCCGGGACACTGATGTAATAACTTCTGCTTTTCGCGCGATGAATACACGTTCCACGTTTCGTGCACGCTTGCACGCGCCACCGACGAGAATTATGAGCTAACGTTGGTACAATTCATTCGGACGGATAGCGAAATTCGAATTCGTTCCACCCTTCTTCTGTGAAAAATATATTCACCGATATTGATACCGAATGAGGGCCAAGTACACTTGGTAAACCATCGATTAAACGAATTAATTGTACTGCGAAGAATTAGCTACTTGTTCTTCGATTAAATTCTAATGGTATTCGAAATGATTTCAACAATGGAACTCCTCTTTACCGTGATTTCGTGTAACTATTGTACACATACCTGGAAAATTAACCGACTTAACCGAGATTATGTTCTCTATCCCGTGTACGTATTGGCCAGTAGGTCGAACTCAGCCGGGCTTTCAATTTCGGTATCGTTTACGCGCACGAATTGCCTGTCGCAACGTTATCGGTAAACTGTTTATGAACTTATGACACGTCGAAGTATGGAAAATATATGCAAACGGTGCGTTACACGCAAACGAAACGGTGTAAACGTTTAGAACGTGCAAAACGTGCGAATTGAGAAAAGTGAAATAATATTTTCGGCTGACATGCATTAATGCATTTCTATGCATTTTTATGTAATCAGGCGAACTTTATCGAAACGTATATTTTTTCTCATTTACGATTATCAACTTTCCGTACTTTTCCTATCGAGACCCCGCTAATGACTCTTTTTAAATTCCCAAATGGTCCAGCCATTTTAAAATGCAATGGAAAGATGGTATCGCGCTACTTTACCAGGGCGAAGTTAAAATACCTTTCGAAGTACTAACTTTTTCGGGAAATGTTATACCAGTTTTTTGATTGATACTCGTGGTAAGTTTGGGATGAGGATCGAGTCACCGCGAAAAGGATTCAGAATCAATGGAAAGCTGTCATTTGCCGGTCGCGATCCCCTATCAGTTTCACCGTGCAAATCGCGAGGTGTTCATTCAAAAAAACCTACCCGATTGACGTACAAGCTTCGAAGCCAAAGTTATAAATAACGTTTCGCGTGACGAGCGTGCCTTTGCAGACGCGGGACCATTCATCAGCTCCGCCCAGCACGTGAACCAGCACCGATAACGACGCCATGAAAGGCGACCTGTCGAACGGACCGCGAATCGCTCTCGCCTTTTCTCTATCTGCCCTTTTGTCAACCCGCTAGAAAACACCGAATAAATAGAAAATAAATAGAACCGGAGAGTGTTTTAAACGGGAGGAAATTGTTTTCTTGCACCGCACTGAATATTCCAAAGGTTTGTTCCGTTTAATCCTTGCGTGTATCTTTCGTATTAACCCTTTGGGTACTGAGTATTCCAGGTTTAAACGTTCTGTATACATATACGAAATAACACTTACCATTTTTTTTTCCTTTTTATTTCATTTAATTTCTCAATTTATTTTTTAATTTATTTTTCCATTGTTTTATTCATTTTGATCCAATTAGTAATACGCGTTGGTAACTTTTATTCGATTGTGAATAAGATATGCAAGAAACATAGCAGTGAAAGGGTTAAACGAAGCAATAAAATAAGCATTCAGAGCAGAGGTATTCGCAACGAATTCATTGTTTCACGATTCATTCGTAGCCGGACAGCAGCTACTAATTTCAGTTGCTCGGAGCGTATCAGGCTAGCCGACAATTACAGCCCGTAAAACCGGCAGGGTTGTAAGGTCCTGGCAGGCATAACTCGCGGTTGCCGTGATAAAGTCGGGCGATAACAGTGTCCCGGCATGTGTGCACACGAAATCGGTAGGAAGAAAAGGGGGTGAAACGGGGAGGGGGTGGGTGTCGAGCGACCGGGGGAGCCAGGTAAACGTTTGTCTCCAACCGAAAGGCGTCGACCTACGTTTACCGGTGCCAGCGAAACACATCCAGGACACGCTAAGATTTTCGATATTTCGAAAATGATCCCGATAACGAGCTTTCACGTAGCCCTGTTTCACCATTCTTGTTCCCGTGTTACTTTATCGGTCCCACGCACGAACGTTTCCGCACGAAATTGAAAAACGCCCGGCCGCAAAAGGAAACACGTCAACCATGAATTCTTACCCCATTGCCCGCGAGTTCCTTTCCTACTTTCCTTCTTTCTTCGGGCAAATTTCAAACTGAATTTTATCCAACACCGGTACTTTGAATACTCGCTTTTGTTGCGTCAGACGATCCTCCCGAGTCAGATATATTTCGTCCAGTTATACAGGATCGTTGAGAATAGGTGTACATACATTTTAAATGCTTCGAATGGCAAGCGTTGGACGGCTTTGAAATAGAATATCACCGGATTTCAAATAACATTCGGAACGAATTTGAATCCTTGAACGTGTTTGCGAGTTAAACGAAGCTACCTGCTTAATTACATGTCTAGTTTGGAATTCAAAGTTTAACGAGCAGGTCGCGCAGAATCGAAAAGCTTCTATAGAAGCAGGGACAAAAGTAAACGCGTCTCTGCCTCGAACTCGATGACGATAAGGCATGAAATTAGTTTGCCAGAGACAAGTTTTCCGAAAGTTTGTTGAACAAGCGTCAAATTGCATCGGCTAACAAACTCGTTGCTTTCCGCTGTTCGAAAGGCTTTATACATTTCAATGAAATTTTGACAGCTTCTAATCTTCCCTTAACGTGAACGTGGAACTTCCTCTTATTAATCGCGAAAGGGGACCTATTTTATTTATTACTCCTGATGAAATTTCCAAGTCGAGCATGTACGTAACTACCATGCCCCGCGTATTATCGCCAACATCAATATTTGTGTTTTATAGTTAAATATTTCTCAAGAAAGGAACGCGTGCGGGAAATTTTGTTTCCTGGCTCTACTCCAGCCACATTTTTCCACCTGGACTATACGTTACGGTTAAAATAATAAGCTTATATTTTCGGGGTCTTGAATACACGTAGGAGAAAAGATCGAAAAGGCAAGGATTAAAGAGAGGCTGGCTCGATGATAAACTGTAAACTCGTGCTCTTCATTTCTCTTATCGCAATTTTACTCACGTATGCATTATAGCTAAGCAACGAATTACTGGCGCGAAGAAACATCTGGTGCGAGCTTCGGATAACGCGGTAGCTTGTAAAAATGTAATATGGGGAATGAAAGATACAAGGGTAAGTCGATTGTCAGTTACGCGAAATAAATGAACAATGGTAGCGGGAGCGGTTGAACGTTTCAATTCGTATAAATTTATAACTTTGCTCGGCTAATTAGCTGGTGATATTAATAATCGCGGAATATCTTTCATGAAAAATTGAAATTCACGCGGTGAATCGGGGGCTTTCGATGGAATTAATTGCGGAGGAAAATATTGAATTTCATAGGGAAACACCTGAAACCGATGAATGATATTTCGTTATTTGCTTCGACCGGGCAAACTAGGTTGATCGGAAAGTTACATTCCAATAGATTTGTTCCGTGCGTGTCTGTCTATTAGCGCGTCGGTGAAACGAAACTTGCCGGTTGTCTCTTTGTCAAACAACGAACAATATTGGAGAAGTTGGATCCGGCCGGCTTCGGTACTTCCTTTCGTATCCTCCCTTGTCCGAATGATGCTTCGAAGCATTACGCGGACATTTATCTTGTTAACGAATTGGCAAACTTTTGGAAACTCGGTTTGCCCAGATTTCTGCGTCAGATTATCGATTTCCCGTCTGCTATTGTTTCCTCCGTAATCAATCGTTGGACAGAAAAACATTGAAAATTTAATTCTTCCATGCGAGAGTACGAAACTCGAAACGTTTGCAATGATCCTTAAAATTCATGTGACGTAAAATCTTTTTCCTTTGTCGAGTGAAACGCAGATTACCAGGAGGTGGGG